TCATTCCCGCCGAACGGGCTGGTTGCAAGGGTGCTTTTGTGGTTAACAGATAGCTGTCGTGTGTTTGACTTAATCGATTAACCTAAACTTCTGCTTCCTTTCCTGCGTGAATAACATCCACATGTCAATCTTTGAACATGTGTGTACTTTGACAACAAATGTGGAAGCTGTAATATGTTGCTACCATTATAAATATTCAGTTAGGGAAACAGCATAATTTTCTTTCCTCTGTGAAGAATAAGGAATACTATCAGTCTTCAAATTCGTGTTTCATAATACAAAAATAATTATATATAATAGTGTTGCATGAAAAATAGAAAAGTTGAGTAGATGAGTGCAATTTAAACGTATAAAAATTCTAATTTTCTCTTATATTTGTATTTTAGACGCAGAGAAAAATTAAAAAAAAGTCTGAATTTAAATCTTTTATTCATCCACAGGTTATGACACCAAAAAGCAGTACATTCCGATAAAGATAAATTTTCATCGAAATTACATATGAATATTTTCAAATAGTTTACAAATTTTAGATGAGGAACTAGGTACTAAACGTAGCGCCGAAAGCAATTCTTAAAAATACCTGAAAAAATATTTTTAGACACAAGTCAGTTTTACAGATATGTAAATCATAGTAATAAAAGTTCAAATACAACTCTGAAAAATTTGAAACAGTCCACAAAAAGTCTGAAACGTTTTAAATATTATTTAACTTGACTTAGAACTTTAATTCAGATGCAGCAAAGGGGAGAATTATGCTATAAATTTGTTTCTCAGCTCTGTGTAAATGAAAATGAAACTTACATGATTCATTAAATTGACTGAATCATGCCGAATAATAATTGAGCAAATATTCAGTTTAATGCAGTTTTCTTTTTCAAACTACTATTTTCAAATACAATTCAGTTCTTGGTCATGAAACATTGGAAGCAGATTCCTGTGCTGCAACAAAGAACTGCAGCACACGTTTTCTTATGCACCATAAATTGAATTTCTGGTAAAATCTACTGAATTAGAGAAAAGTGGTTTAAGCATTTGTTCTTTTTCCTTGTGATTAATTAACTTTCGAACAATGTTTTTGTTCAGAACATAATTAATTTTTATCTCTTAAATGATTTTTTAAATTAAATATAATAAAGATATGCTATAACTTTCTGATAATTTTAATACATTAAATTAAAAACTAAAAAAGATGTTTAAAGTTTTTGTGTGATTTTCACTAAAAATATTTTTATTATAGCTAGTTAAAATATTTAAATAGTACCATTCCGGTGCTGTTAGTGGCATTAAATTATAAGTATCATAGAGAACAGAAAGGAAGGTACCAAGGTAGCTGTTTCTTATAATCATTTTTAATTATGAATTGTAAACCAAGAAAGAGAAGCATTCAAAAGTTCAAACACAAGATATACGATTATTACACTTAATAATCGTGCCAAACACGCACTTAAAATTTGCACGTAAGTTAAATTTTAACTTTAATTTAAATTTTATCCCCTCTGAAAAGCATTACAGGAGACTTTTAAGCATTTAAGTAAAGTAAATTATACTTCTTTAAAAAGGGATTAAATCGTACATGAGCTTCACAGGGCAATTTTGGCAAACCTTACTTTTTTAAAATTAAATTTTGACTGTGCCAAAATTTAAACTATTTCTCAAATGCGAACGAAATTACATTGGGAAAAAGAACTTTCTCGTCTTATCAAAAAGGCCAACAGATCGAAACCCATAACTTATAAAGAAAGGGGAGGGGATCAATGAAAATTAGCAACAAATTTCTCTGACTAATATAATGCATATGAAGTCTCAATAACAGTTGTAGATTAACAGAGATTTTTACACTCCTGCATGAAATATATATTCCATATAAAAATTAAAATCAAGCAAAAGACATGATTAAAATTATAAATAAAAATAAAATAAAAAAATAGCATGTTTTAAAATACGAAACATAAAGGAACACAAAAAAATAAAGCTAGAAATATGTCCAAAGTGCGGAACGGAAATAACTTATCAAACGGAAATCAATAAAATCAAAAGTTTAAATCAGGGGTTCTCTACCGGTGGTACGCTTGAGAAAAATGTGGTACGCAAAGCAGCAAAGTATTTTTAACTATTAAATTCAAAAATTAAAACCCCAACATCCTGATTGAGTTTGTTCCTTAACACTCGTAAATTTATGCAATCTGAGCTTTGTTCAAGAGTGGTGGTGGTAGTAGTACTTTGTAGTGGTGGTACTAAAGCTTTTCAATTTTTATTTGGATGGTACGCGGTTAGTCGAAATTGCTGACAACCGCTGGTTTAAGCCATTAAAAATGCTGAATACAAAACAACGTAATGCAATGAAATACACTCAAAAACATCTGTTCAACTTAGCTTTTAGTTCCAAACTGCAGTGCAAAGCCTCTTATGAAAAACCTCGCGTGTGCTTGTGAAGATCCTTTAAAAGCCCATTCTACAATCCTAAGTGTTTGATGTTTTAGCTGCCTAAAAGCGCATTGTCCGTAACTCCTGAGTAATGATAAGTATCAGTTAAAAATCCTGCTTTCTTTTTTTTCAATTACAAGGAGCTGTAAAGAAACAAAAGTAATTTTTTCCAAAACAATATTTCACAATTGACAGATGCCAACATAAAATTCTGCCAATGCATAAAAAGAAAAACCACGTTTAGTACCTTTTGTACATCACACAAGAAATGGAATGTGAAAGAAGTAATGAAATCTACGCAGCTTAGTGGCGTATACAGCACATTATCTAAAAGACCACAGAAAAATTTTATATGTAGTTGTTTTAATGCATAAATGATACATATCAACTAATTCTTAGAAAGAAAAAAAAGTTAATTATTGCTTCTCTATACAACTGTTAGCTACTTTTAGGCTTTTGAAAAATAACAATATTTATTATCAGGCTTCATATACGTCTTGTAATTTTATTAAATGATGTGAAAACGAATTGGAGATGGAAAATACACAGAAAGAAATTAAGATATTGAGCAACATATTAATCTAACTAGCTTTCTAGTAAATATTTCTTAAAGCAAATATAATTAGATGAACACTAAAACACAGCTTTCTTGTAAAATAAAACACAGCTTTTTTGTAAAATAAAACACAGCTTTTTTGTAAAATAAAACACAGCTTTTTTGTAAATTTGAAAAAAAAAAAAATGTAAATTTTGTAAATTAGTTGAGATGTTAAATCAAACAGTTCATAAAATAACAATTAACACAGTGGTTAAATCAAATGTTCAGTAAAATTATGTTTTACTAGCTTAATGTTGAGAAAATAATTCACCCAATACTATTAATAAATTTGAAAGGACTTACTATCAAAAGTTTCGAGAAACTACTAAAAAATATGTAATTTAATATATTGAACAGAGTGCGTTTCTGAAACATTTGCTGCAAAAATTATAATAAAATAAAATTTTTTTACCATGTGACAGATGATTTCGGTTCATATATGTATCCGAAAGCTTTTGAAATTAAAAGTGTTCAGTAAACATCTTTTATAACATATTTTTTTTTTCAGAATTGCTTTTAAGAGTTTAAGGAATAAATATCTCAGTTCTTCCTATAATATCTTAACATAATTCCATCTCAACAAATCTAGGAAACTGTATGATACACATCTTTCAATTCTTCTAAACATGCAATAATTTTATTTATACAGAAATCTGAAACACAGTAAATTATTTCATATATATCCTTTTGTTATGTTACATAGATTAACATAATTAAAATATTATTATAGGCACAAAATATTAAAATTCATTTCATATAATACATAGAAAACACATTTTTGGGAAAATATTAGCTTTAATAACTAATATGTAAAATAATAAAGCTATTTTTGCAATCTTTTTAACATGATTTATTTTATGAATTAACATGAAATTTTACAAAGTAGGCGAATTTATTTCCAGCGAAATAGGTTATTAGGAATTATATGAAACATACAAACATACAAAGTTTAATTTTAGAAAAATAAGCATTTTTATTTTTTATTTTTTATCATCACATGATTTATTTTCACCATTTTAGTTTTTTTATTTCCTTTCAAGAACTAAAATTGTGTAATTGGGGTCTTAAAAGAAAAGTTTAATATGAAAAACAACTTTAACTAAGAATACATTGAATTTTAACTATATATGCCCTTTGAGAGAATGACAATGGACAAAAATGAACAGATATGCCCTTTGTGATAAAGGTTGACAATTTAAACAGAGATGGTTTGATGGTTTGAAATTTATTATTCATACATTCACTTTGAGAAAGAAAAATCGCGTGCAGAAAGTCATATGAGATTTTTCATTCATATTTCAAGATGCCGTTTTGAAATTCTAGAAGTTGGAAATTGCAGTTCAAAAATTAACATGAGACCTACTTGAAATTTTCAATATTTCTAATGATCAACGCTGAAATGATATTGTTTTGTGCCATTGATTTTCTTCGACAGAATAGAGAGTGGAAAGAAAGCCTTCCAAAAATTAATGCAACCATAGACCCCGTATTTTGCAAATTTCAATTTTATTCAAAATGTGCGCCGAATGAAAAGGGATTGATTTTAAGGCTTTCAGGATTTTGTCGCACAGAAATTAGAAATTCATATAAAGGCCTATGAACTCGTTCATAAGAATATTAAAAACCAGGGTTCGACGGAAAAACTCCTCTAGGATATTCCTGATTGATTGGACGGAAATCAATTACTCAAACGGTACTGCTGGGTACAGTCGATAACTAAAGGTCTGAATCAACAAATTGAAAATCATTGTTCCTTCTTGATTTGGCAAGCAATGACAATCCATACAGGTATTTGGATCATTTTAAGAACTCGTTTTTTCTATCAGTCTTGGAAATGAGTACCAAATTGTCTTAACAACGATATTCATCACTAAATTTTCTAGTCCCAAATTTTGGGGGAAATATCAGTAAACATTTCACGTGAGTTCGTTTGGCGCTATGCCTAGTCTGGGGAACATCTTCATGTGAAGATAGAAATTTAGTCAAAACGTATCGTCATAAAAGGGCATGGGTTTGGCTTCCATTTATCGAACCTCATTTCGCTCCCAAGTCCCATAAATTTTAACGCTGGGTCGAATTTGAATGGTCGTTTTCCAAGAGTTTCTTTTCCTATCTTTTCAGGACGCTTTCCTAAACCTATAAATTTAAGTGCAGGGTTGAATTTAGAGGGTAGCTTATTAATACCTGTACCTTTGGAAGGGGAATCGTCATAAAAGTCTCGTTTACCTAACCCCATGTATTTCAGGGCAGGGTCGAATTTATAGGGTCGCTTATTAATGTTTGTGCCTTTGGAAGGGGAATCGTCATAATAGTCTTGTTTCTCTAATCCCGGATATTTCATGGCAGGGTCGTAACTAAATTCTCTTTTTCCTAACCCCATATATTTCAGTGCAGGGTCGTAACTAAATTCTCTCTTTCCTAACCCCATATATCTCAAGGCTGGGTCGTAACTAAATTGCCTTTTTCCTAACCCCATATATGTAATAGCTGGGTCATACTTAAAGCTCCTTTTTAATGATTCATTAATACTTGTATGATTATTATTCAGTATTATATGTTCTGGTTCTTCTGATCTCAAATTTTCATTTTCAGTGGTAATCAGTGAAGGATCATTGTTTATTTCTCGTTTACCCAGGCCCATGTATTTGAGAGCTGGATCATACCTAAAGTCTCTTTTGCCTAATCCCATGTATTTAAGAGCAGGATCATAGATGTATCCTCTTTTACCTAACCCCATGTACTTAAGAGCAGGATCATAGCTAGACTGTCTTTTACCTAGTCCCATGTATTTAAGCGCCGGATCATAGCTAGACTGTCTTTTACCTAACCCCATGTACTTAAGAGCAGGATCATAGCTAGACTGTCTTTTACCTAGTCCCATGTATTTAAGAGCCGGATCATAGCTAGACTGTCTTTTACCTAACCCCATATACTTAAGAGCAGGATCATAACTGAACCCTCTTTTACCTAACCCCATGTACTTAAGAGCAGGATCATAACTGAACCCTCTTTTACCTAACCCCATGTACTTAAGAGCAGGATCGTAACTGAAACCTCTTTTGCCTAATCCCATATATTTGAGAGCTGGATCATAGTTAAAACTTTTTTTCCCTAATCCCATGTACTTGAGAGCTGGATCGTAGTTGAAGTCTCTTTTGCCTAATCCCATGTATTTAAAAGCTGGATCATAGGCAAAATCTCTTTTGCCCAACCCCATGTATTTGAGAGCTGGATCGTAATTGTACCCTCTTTTACCTAATTTCGTATCCATTAAAGTTGGGTCATATGAGGAATCAAGTTTGCCAAGTTCTTGATGATCTGATGGTTTGTCCGATTGTTTTGTTCGCTTTCCAAGTCCCATAAGTATAAGCGCTGGATCATACTTGAATTTACGATTGTACTGTTTTTTATCGTTCATTCTTTTATTTGCTTTAATTGTTAAAGAAATATTTTCTTTGTTCGAAGTTGTCGTCTCGTCAGATGGAAAAATTTCTTGGTTAAAAGCATGATATCTTGAATTCTCAGGAAGTGCTGTAGCCAGATGAGAAACATCTGATGGCAAATGGTCAAAAGGTGCATTTGCATTTTCCATTTCGTCTACCGCTTCTTTCGTGATAACTGAATATTTCATAAGGGGATCATCGCTTAAACGTTTTTCGCCGAAGAAATCTAATCCATAGCGATCAGAAGTAACTGGTACTTCACTTGAGCTTGTTGCTCCACCTTGATAGGTATATTCGTAACTACCTGAAATAAAGAAAAAAAATCAGGGATACAACTATTCTGTAAATGGTGATAAAGAAACTTAAAAAACTGCAACAGTTATTATTGCATTTCCCTGTTACACATTGGGTAAATTTGCTAAGGGTTTAAATATTCTGCAAGCATTTAAATTAATAATGGATCTAAATACTTTGCCACAAAAAACTAAATATTTTTTATGAATAATAAATAAAATTATTATTAAATAAGAATGCTTAATGTTACTGATCACATTTAAGACTTAAGGACATGCTGCATTTGCACTTAATTAACCACATTTTTTACATTTTCCCCTAATTAGTAACCCGAAAGGTATGGTATAGAGCGAAGGTTGGTTGAGGATATGGGCTCACCTTTTCAGTGTGAGATTTGGTTGCTAGTGAGTTGCCTTCCCATCTTTTGATATTTTCGGTGGTGAGATATCTAAATAATAGATAGTTTCGGCCGTAATCACCGAAGAATGCTTAATCATCCCGGTCATTAAAATTTTTTTTCATTATGTAAAGGATTTTATTCTGAAATTTTTCTTGAGCTTAATAATAAAATTCATTTTATAATTAACGAAACATCCTAATTTACCTCAGAAACTATTAATATAGTTATTTTAATATATAATTTTTAATATAGTTTTTAATATTTCTTCATTAAAACATTCATTTTTAGATTTTAAATTTTAAATTTAAAATGCTTTCACTTCACGTGGCGTTACAATTTTTTAACAAAAGTATTACGTCTAAGAGCTTAAACTGGAGGGGAAAATGCATCATTATTCTGTGAAATTGCAACTGCAAGGAAGAGTTCTAGGATAGGAAGTTGGTGTTATTTATCACGTTAAACGTAAATAATTACAAGTTTAGCTGAGCGCACAATAGTATAAAATAGGATGAATAGGATGAGGCAATATAAAATAGGATAAAATAGGCAAAAGTAGAATGGGCGCACAATGTAAGTTGAAAGCGGATACGACTGAAGAAAAAGAGCCTTAAAATGCAAATTCCGAACAGCGCATTGATGTCATCAATTACTATTTCTCTGTGAGGATTTTAAAATAAGCCTCGGAGCGAAATTAGACATTATATATGATCAGAACAAGAGAAGTAGCCCGAGCAAAACGAGACATTATATATGTTGAGAATAGACGAAGAGTTTGTAGAGACATTAGGTAATTTTGGAAGCAGGAAAGATGAAAAATAGCAACCGCCTTCGCCGGGAATCGAACCACGGACCTCTGGAATACCGGTCCAGTGTGCAGAACCACTACGACACGAAGGCACGCTAGGAAAGCGGGGAAAATATCTGACATAATCTCCTTTTTAAAGGGTATCTAGACTTTTAGGGGTCCTTGTCGCCAAATCCTGGGTGTGGAGAATCATCATCCACAACCCTTTTAATTCGGGCGCCACTGTAGAGACATTAGGTATTTTTTGGAAGTAGGAAAGATGAAAAATAGCAACCGCCTTCACCGGGAATCGAACCACGGACCTCTGGAATACCGGCTCAGTGTGCAGAACCACTACACCATGAAGGCACGCTAGGAAAGCGGAAGAAATACCTTACAAGTTAAAAAAAAAGAAGTATTACAGATTGAGATAAGAAGACTTTCCTGTTCATATACGATCATTGCTCGGGATAGGTAAAACTCCAATGTAATTATGCGGATGCGAAGTCTTTATTCCGTGACCCGAATAAAAGGAAACTGTTTACTTCCATGAACCGTTTGTTTCTGGGAACCGCGGATAACCGAAATTGCAGAACTCGAATACGGGAGTGCGAATACTCTAGTCTTCACAAGTTATTTGGGACTCAAATGAGTCTTCATGTCTAAGTCAGCATGCCGCAAGTGGTATTATCTCGCGCAAAACCTTCACTTCAAACATAATTCCTAGATGGAACATTAATAACATAAAATAATACGTACAAAGTTCATCGAAAAACATAAGATGGACCTGAACTAAATTTTACGACATTAATTGTATGTGCCCAAATTTCAAGGCTGTTGACCTGTTAAAACCAAATTTTTAATTCTAAAAACTGAAAATAAGAAATTGTTTGTAATATGTTCTTGTATTACAAAGTTTAAATATCATGAAACTGTAACTTTATTAAGCAGAAAATGAGTATTTTAGTATTAGAATGTGTTTCATGCATTTTTTATGAATGTTAATGTATTTCTTCTATATTTTCGGGGTGCAGTTAGAAAGATACTATTAAAGCAAATTCATCACTTTAATTCGGACATTGTTTTGAACCAAATATTATGATATGCTGTTGTTGTTGTGACTTATCTCACTTATTCGACAGTAACATCAGCACAAGCACACGAAATTCATCGTGGCAAGGAATACAAGATTACATTTGTCGTTGGCAAGAGCACCATAAAGGTGACAGTACGACATTCCTCAGTTCTACCCCAATTTTGATGGAGAGCACCCTGGGTGGGACAGGTCCGAGGGACTCTCACTAGGTAGGTGGTAGAGAGTCTTCCCCTACCACCAACCTCTCGAGAGGACTTTCCGCTCGCCATATATTTAGAGTGTCCCCATGCCTCACAGATACTGTACATTTACAAACATTCATGTCTTCTCTGGTATTCGAACCCGGACCTTTCGGTAAGGCAGTCAGCGTCACAAACCTCTATCCTGGTTGGGTGGCATACTATGATATTCTCCGCTATATTAGAAAATTATACTATTGAAACATGAAGTGAATGGATTTCAGTAAAGAAAGTGATAGCTTCATAGAATATTATAACTAAACCCTTAGTCTTGCATTTGAAGACAAACCTAGTTAAAAATATCACGGGCTGAAAGCATGAATTACTATCATGAGAAAGAAGAGACTTTCAGAACAAATTTAGCAAAAAATTGAATTATATCATTTCAATCCACAGCTGTTTCTGTTCACAATCGTTTTATTGCTTTTTATATAAGATTTTGCTACCTAATGCATGGCTGCTTCGGTGTTTTCATTCGTGGAGCACAATTTTTATTTTTGAACCAAGTTGGCCCCAGTGAACTTTCCAGATGTCATGAGCGCTTTTGGTCGAACATGAAATATGACTACTCTTCTAGTGCAGTATGATGCTTTTACGAGTTTATTCAAAGTTAATAAAAATATTCCATTATTTGGCAACCATGATCGAAGATGTCTTCTCAACTGCTGAACAATTTTATATATATTTAGGACTGTTTTCTTAGATAATGTTATTAAAATTGAGGGAAAATATTAAGAGCGCTGTTAAGTCTAAAAGCTCCATTGCTCTTATTTTTCGATAGAAGTCATTGAAAACAGAAGATCAATGGCTGCGCGCTTAACTTGTTGTTGTCTTGTCCATATATTTCATGGAAGAATGGTTGCCAGAGCCTCAAGGAAGTTGGACTTCTACGTTTCCTACCTCCCTGACCAAACCAACCGAGAAGAATTTCTGCTCGTCATTATATTTAGACTGCGCCCATACCGCAAAGACACAATACATTTACAAATATCAGTGCCTTCTCCGGGATTCGAGCCCGGGAACTTCGGTACCGCAGTAATCTCCCCTAGCCACAATAGCGTCTAGGTGGTTAACTTTAACTTATTTTTACAATTTAACAATTTATTTTAAACGGAAGATTTAGCAACGTATATATATATTCTATATAAGGTACAACTAAATAAGGTACTGTTGTGGATAAAAAAATTCCTAAATACCGTAACATCACCTGCTGTCACTATTCTTACTATATATGTGTAATGAAAACAAAACGGAGCAGTGTTGATATGTAATACCCAGATAGGATAGATCCATATTGAAGAGGAAAAATTCTGATGGCGTGGTACGCTAATAATGTTGACTTCGTAATATCTAAGAAACTTGTCAGTCGAGGCGGTTTTAATTCCATTTCACTTGACACTCTACTCGTGCCTATTCAAGGACATTTTCATTTTTGATATTGTTGCGATAGGAAGCGAGCACAGAGAAATCAACGTCCAAACAGCGCACAGAGAGACGCTGAAGTACGTAGTTATCCAATATGAAAGTTCGCCAAGAGGAAGATTTTGGTCTAGTTTAGAAAAGTTTCAGTTCCCAAGAGTTTAGCGCATCGTCATCAGTTTAGCGCTATTCATGCAAGATAAAATGATCTAGAAATAATGCAATCTAGAGAAACTATTACAATTTTTAGAACAGAGAGGGAGAAATAAAGGGTTACCCCGTTAGTTTAAATTATAACTTTGATTTACATATTTTTTATCTTACATATTCCCTCCTTCAAAGAGAAAAATGCTTTCCGACAGAAAAGCCTTTTTAAAAGAAAGCATTACAGCAGTCGCAAAAGAAAGGTAAATACAATAGCGGGGTAAAAATAATAAAATATAATAAGGGCACAATTTTGGAAGCACTGATGTAAAAACACTGAGATGGAGACGCGCAGAAATGCTGATTGCAAAGATACTTAATGCTTAAGCGTCCATCCATTTTGAAGAAGAAGCAGTCGAGACGAATTCAATTCCATATTTATTTAAATTCACATTTGTGGACACAATTCTCTCGGCACTCCCAATCGTGCCTATTTCCAGAATAATTTTGATACTGTTGGCGATAGAAGCGAACGTAAATTATTGCAGCAGCGTATTAACAGGATGAAAGCTCAAGCGAAAAGAAAGAGAGTGTCGCAGTAGTAATGCCAAGGAAGAAGGGAGGGAATCAAGTTTTGGTTTACAATTACTTTGATTGGGCAAGAGACATCTGCATTAAGGGTTGCGTAAGATCACATAATTAATTTGAATGACGCAGTTTAGACTTAAGACGTTATTTTTAATTTGCTTTCATATTTTTTATCTTACACATTCCCCCTTTTCAGAAAGAAAAAGGCGGAACGATAGAGAAGCCTTTTTGAGAGAAAAAGCATTAGAGCAGCAAAATATGAGAAATATGATTTTGAAAATACCGCACATAAAATTAACTTCTGAACCATTAGAAAATTATAATGAGTAAAATTTTAAGT